CAAGGGCAGATGTTTGAAAAATTGGGACATTATCCAGAACGGAAATATTCAGCAAGGGATGCTTCAGTGTACTTCTCACTTATAATATGAAAGAAATGCCTATAGTAGATTATTACCTAATTATTGGAAAAAGTGATCAGCAACAAAAGAGAATTAAGCTTACTACTGATAATAATCTATCTGTTGACTGCATCATAATTTTTTTCAAAAAGAATAAAGTTAAGTGTGGGATTTCGTAAGCCCTTTATGTAATATTACTTTAATGTTACTTATGTTTCTGCTAATTTCAACGTTAAATTTGGTTTTTACCTAATAACAGTCTAAAAAAAACGCTTGTTTAAAGAATTAGAGAAACAACGATTAGAATGAAAAAATTCAAACATCGGTACAAATTCTGCTTTAAAACAGATTTAATCCGATCCGCAAACGAAACACGTACCCACCTGGGGAATATAAAACATATGTTTCCTACCAAGATATTTATAGGGTGGTATAAAAGCTCTTGGTCATGCATTTAAAAAGCGCTGTTCAAAAATAATTGGCGAGCACGGAGGAGTTAAAAATTATATGTAAAGTTAACGACAGTTACGACAAGTTTTGTAGAGATTAATATTATTGTTACAGTACAGAAGTCTACACGTTTTATAATGTTATGGTTAAAAACGTATTTATTTTGGCAGATAAAATTTGGAATTCTACGTCTGAAATAACTATGTTATGTTGAGCTTTGCATGTAGTAAAGTGTTATGACTTGATTCGTAGTCTGTTTTCATTTTTGTATTTACATGGTTAAGAAAACCGAATTATATTTTCGAATTATCAAAGCGTCTCAAGAACCAGCTGAAGTTTCAAAAATGTTTACTAGTTATGCCTCAGTATTTTATCACTTAAAATTTATTTTTGTTGCAGATATATGTATAATTCTGATCAATTGACGATTGCTTGCCGAATATTTAATCTACCTACCCATAATTAGTAAAAATTGCATAAATCAACGAACTTTGGTGTCTAATTAACTTTATTAAATTATTAAGAATCTGAAGCTTGAAAATAAATAATAAATGAATAATTAAATAATTAAATAAACACTACCATAATTGTGTGATCATCAAAAAAATGCTTAGAATAATACGTTTAAATGCAAATAAAAATAAATAGGAAGAACAAAGAGACTAAACGGAGTTGATCTTCTAGGAACTCGTCTAAGCTGTAATAAGCTTTCATTATAAGTGCTGATGTCTGATGTAATCCTATTTGTAAAGCCTCGAGTTAGTCGAGTTCAAGCTCAATCGTTTCTAGTAATAAAGTTATTAAAAAATAGCAAATCACAATTATAAATCGAAGCATTACGCATTTTACATATTCTTTAAAGTTAGAATGTGTTACTGACTCTAGTAGGTACCCCGAGAATTGAAGGATTCTTCACAAAGAATTTTCAGTCTCAAAATTTGTCACTAATGTGGTACTCATATAACGACAGCAACCTTTTAAAATCTGGTAATAATTATAATTGTAATGAAAAGAAAATATTGAGATGAAAAATATATAAATACATACCATCAGTTTCTCTTTTCGATAACAAATTTCATTACACAAAATTCAGTCACAACGTTAAAAAATCGAGTTGTTATTTCAAGTGTTGCTGTCTTTTCACCTTCTCTTTTTAAAATAACTACATATAAAGCTTTTACGTGTTGAGATAATTTTTTGTACCTGCTTCGACGAACTAAAAATCAATCTGATCAGTATGTGGTCAACAAAATGCAACGAATAATAAGGGATAAGAAACAACCGATTCTTTTATGCGTTTCAGAGGTCATTGTTTTATCAGCTTCCAGTCTCTTAAATTATCGTTGAAGTATTATCGTACATATTTTTGTCTTATTTGCTTAGCTAATAAGGCTTTTAAATTTCAAATATGGAATTTTTTTTCTATAAGCCACTTTTTTGGGGCAATTTGTAATTTTTGTTTGCCAAGCTTAATACCATATTATATATATTTATAATTATAGTGTTTCGTTTCAACTAGTGGATCAAAATAACGCTAAAGCAAAGAAATTTAAAACAAAGAGTCTGTAAAATAGCGTCCATCCTCAACAAAACAATTAGTCCAAAAAGTACAACTGCTTAAGACGTTGTTAAAAAAGACATTCAAATTCGGAAAATCTTATGTAATTTGCTGTAAATAATATCTGCTTTTATAAAATGTTAGAAAAGATTTTCATTCAATTAAAAAAATTAAAATATTCTTCTCTGTGATGAACCCGGAATTGCTGGAATTAGTTCCGTGGTTTCTCTAAACAAACATATATTTTTTATATTTTTTCAAAGCGGTGATTTTTAACTGGTAAATTATAATTTTATAAAAAATAACTTATCACCACTCTTTTTTATTTAATCCGAAAAACTGAATCCAATACTTGTTAAACCAACAATCCTTCTATATGCAATTCTCCTAACACTAGAGCTTGCTGTGCTGCATGACAAACTACTAACTGTGCTAGAATCCTTATTTACAAACTAAACTATACCACGATCACACGGTGAAACAATAACAGAAGCGGTAAAACAACATATTTATTAAATTTTATTATATTTGCTTTTCCATTTTAACGGAATTTAATAAATGCGAATAATAACAAACTTACAAAGTAGCTATTTTTTAATCGACTTGCAGCTACAATATTTCTTATTATTTTACCTGCATTTATGTAATAGAAAACGGTTGAGTCTTTTGAACAAAATGAAATCTTTTGAAAGCAAAACGTTTGATGTGGAATTGAGATAGGTCATAAAAACACTGTAGTGTTTAAAAGGTTGCCTATAAATTAGGCGAATAAAACTAATAGATCGATTCTGTAACTTGTTATGTTAATAACATTCTGTTATCACTATGTAAACACAGCTAACATTCTGTTGTTGCTATGTAATAACATATTTAACATAAATTGCAATTCGCTAAGGTTCTTTCTGTTATGTTAATAACATTATGTTATTAAAATACTCTGTAAAATAACAGAGACATTTGAATCAATGTTATTAACATAATGCGGTTATTTTGAGGTTTATTATAGGTCGATTCTGTAACAATCAGTTAACATTATGTTATTTTAAATTTCTGTTATTAAAATTGCTATGTTATCAGGACGTTAACATAAAACAACAAATGTCGTATTCTGTAAACCGTTATGTTAGTACCTAAATAACAGATGTGTCATTTGTCCGAAAATGTTATTTTTCGAAGTAATGACACCATTTTCATCATCTGTCACTGTCAAACAAATACACCACGAAAATGTGTTTTTTCATAAAATTTTTGCTTAGTAGATATTATCGCTTCTGCTGTCGTTGGGAACTAGATCCAGACAGGCATTAAAATTTCACTAATTAGGTGACAAATTTAAGTCATGACCCTGCTAACCGATGGTTGACTCATGGCAACAGAAGAAGACATTCCTACGCAGTGTTGGTATGGACCCATGGCCTAAGAAGTTCAATGTGGCTAAAATTTTTAAGTATCCCGGAATACCACTGGCACGTAGATTTCCCAAATGAGGTTCCAACCTCTCCAGCAAGAAACGGGTCATATTTTTGCTAAAATGAAAGGACTTTCTAAATTCCGTCTCTGTTAAATTTTCAAAGGAATTTTGATTGTCGCGAAGCTCTCTCAGGCGAATTCTCATTCTGTTCATATAATACATGCATTGTAATATTTTTAGTAAAAAGAAAGACCTACCGTTGAATTTCGTCTTCTAATAATAAGTAACCGAAGACGGGTAGAAAATCATCCACTTCTGCCATTTTACTTCTTTTGCCACCTCAGTCAAATTTGTGATATTATTAATTAATAAACCTCAAAATAACCGCATTATGTTAATAACATTCACTCAAATGTCTCTGTTATTTTACAGAGTATTTTAATAACATAATGTTATTAACATAACAGAAAGAAGCTTAGCGAATTGCAATTTATGTTAAATATGTTATTACATAGCAACAACAGAATGTTAGCTGTGTTTACATAGTGATAACAGAATGTTATTAACATAACAAGTTACAGAATCGATCTATTAATTAATAATATCACAAATTTGACTGAGGTGGCAAAAGAAGTAAAATGACAGAAGTGGATGATTTTCTACCCGTCTTCGGTTACTTATTATTAGAAGACGAAATTCAACGGTAGGTCTTTCATATCATAGTATTACTAAAAATATAACAGTACATGTATTATATGTACAGAATGAGAATTCGGCTGAGGGAGCTTCGCGACAATCAAAATTCCTTTGAAAATTTAACAGAGACGGAATTTAGAAAGTCCTTTCATTTTAGCAAAAATATGACCCGTTTCTTACTGAAGAGGTTGCAACTTCATTTGGGAAATCTACGTGCCAGTGGTATTCCGGAATACTTAAATATTTTAGCCACATTGAACTTTTTAGGCCATGGCTCCATACCAACACTGCGTAAGAATGTCTTCTTCTGTTGCCATGAGTCAACCATCGGTTAGCAGGGTCATGACTTAAATTTGTCACCTAATTAGTGAAATTTTAATGCCTGTCTGGATCTACTTAGTTCCCAACGACAGCAGAAGCGATAATATCTACTAAGCAAAAATGTTATGAAAAAACACATTTTCGTCCTGTATTTGTTTGACAGTGACAGATTATGAAAATGGTGTCATTACTTCGAAAAATAACATTTTCGGACAAATGACACATCTGTTATTTAGGTACTAACATAACGGTTTACAGAATACGACATTTCTTGTTTTATGTTAACGTCCTGATAACATAGCAATTTTAATAACAGAAATTTAAAATAACATAATGTTAACTGATTGTTACAGAATCGACCTATAATACAGGAACATTTTTAAAAAATCTCTGTTCTTGCATAAAATAATTTTAGTATCCAATAAACCAAACTGTTTAATCACAGAGGTGTTAAAACAGTGTTACTAGTTGATTGTAGACACATTAACAAGAAATAAATTGTATTATAATGGATTTTTAATACTTTATTGCACGCAAACAATTGTTTTTATAAATATAAAAAAATTATTTTACAATTATCTATGATTTCGAAGTGCATCAAGTGGTACAATTTTTACTCCATTTTCATCACCACTACTATGCAAAGTTAATCCCATCTCTTCCAAAACTGTGGAACTAACAGTCCCTTCTTGATGCAGCCCAGCAATAATTTTTTGATTTTCCAGGTTGTTTTCACATAAATTGCGCACTGCTAGAATGCCCCATTGCATGATAACTAAAAATGAACTAAGGAAAACCAACACTATAAGCGTACTTTTTAAAAGATTTTTTCAACATGAAATAATAAAGATAAATTGTTATAAAGGATACATGGATTTCTTGCATCCATATTACAACATTCTAAAACCACGGGTATAAGTTCTGCCTCTCGCACCTGCCGCAAAGATTTATTAGTTTTCTTATAGTACTACATATACATCTTTACTTACTAAGTCTTGCATTGTCCTGTTCTTCCAACATAAATTCCCAATTATGCGAATCAGATCCGCTTTAAAACCAAAAGCCGGATGTTTGGACATTTGTTGAGTGGGTTGTCTAACTTCACTGAGACTTTGAATCGACGAAAAATAATTTTCTGTATCCTTCCCTAATTTGTGAATATTTATTAGAACGACTCCAACATTAATTAGTAAATCTTTATCATTCTGTAATTTTTTTAAATATGAGTCATCACTACTGAGAGAAGAGATCACTTGTAACAATTCAGACACTTCATAAGGTTCTAAATCATTTTCGTTTGATGAAACTGTTTGAAAAATAATGCTTGCTGAATTAATGAAGCTATTTGATAAAGTCTGTAAAGCGTAATCACATAAATCCAGCTTTTCTCCTTTTATCTGTTTCTCTCTAATAACACCTAGAACTACTAATCTTCTATGTAAATCAATTTTTTTATAATTTGTCCAAAAATTATCATAGGTTATGAACTTTTCAATCAAAAAATGTAAGAATTCAATATTATTTCGATTGTCATAAAGTTGCAGTATGCACACATACATATCAAAATCTAGTTCAATTGCATGATGTAAAGAAATATTATACAGTAAAGCACTGTTTTCATATGTATTAACATTTTGTTTTAATGAACCAAAAATTTGATTTTGAAACACAGCATAAACTTTTTTAGCGGCTATTTCATTTGATACTACTAAATTAATGAGGAACTGTAAAACAACTTGCAATATATCATTTGTTACCAAACTACTTTCACAGATAATTTTAACATTATTTAAAAAACTATCATTGCTTAGATATTTTTGGACATCTATGTTAATTACATAATTTCTTAAACTCCTAAATAACTCTTTCAAAATATTTTGATGATTTTCGCTAATTTCTTCATTAATAATTTGTAGCAAAATTTTGTGCAAACTATTTAACACTGTGTCTGAAAAATCAAACCTACAAAGGAATATTGGGTATATACAGAATAAATACGCATTTTTATACATACTGTAAGGGTATTCCATCACTGCCCTTTTCTAGTTTAAAAGATATGTTTAAATAATTTGCGAGAGAGGGATAATCATACGTTTTTAAATACTTGTCTACGAGAGCAACATTTAAATCTAAATGTCTCGACATTGTTTACCTAAAATAATAATTATTTCTCCTTTGTTTTACTTTGTAATTATGAAACTTACGATTTCTACACAAGGTAAACTTTCTCAAATTCTCATCAATGTTTTTAAACATGCAAACATTTATAGGTTATCTGTCAACAAACTTGACTACTTGACACGCAGGGGCACCAATTTCTAGGTGTTAGATAATTTATTGTTACTAAAATTTGTGTTGGTGAAATGTGAATTGTCAATGTCAAATGTCAAATTAAATTTGATTGTAAGAGTGATTTGTTGTTACTGTGTTGCCGGAAATTACGAGATTCCTATAACAAAAATCAAATTAAGAAAAGGTGAGAGTTTGTATTTTATGTGTAAAATTTTGATTTAGAATAAATATAAAAATTGCGATCGTTTTCATTCACTGAAATGCAATGTCATTTTCAACAACATAACCTCACACTAATTTTCTTTCCTTCTATAGATGTTTCTTACAAGGAGTGAATATGATAGAGGAGTTAACACCTTCTCACCTGAAGGACGCCTGTTTCAAGTAGAATATGCTATTGAAGCCATCAAGTTGGGATCCACAGCTATAGGAATATGCACCAGTGAAGGAGTAGTTTTGGCCGTTGAGAAACGTATAACATCTCCTTTAATGGAACCAACAACAATAGAAAAAATTGTAGAAGTCGATAAACATATTGGATGTGCCGTTTCTGGTTTGATGGCAGATTCACGAACAATGATCGATAGGTAAAATTTTGTACAACGCGCATTTTTCTTTTAACAAGTATTATGTAGGGCAAGAGTGGAATGCCAGAATCATTGGTTTGTGTACAATGAAAACATGAGCGTTGAGTCTTGTGCACAGGCTGTTTCCAATTTAGCAATTCAATTTGGAGATTCTGATGATGATGGTGCAGCAATGTCAAGGCCTTTTGGTGTAGCTATTTTGTTTGCCGGTATAGATGAAAAAGGCCCTCAATTGTACCATATGGATCCATCTGGTTCGTTTAAGTGTACCATGACTGACAAATTTTTACAATTATTTTTAGGAACGTTTGTACAGTTTGATGCTAAAGCAATTGGGTCTGGCTCAGAAGGGGCACAGCAAAGCTTGCAAGAAGTGTATCATAGAAGCATGACTTTGAGTGAAGCAACTACAGCAGCGCTGACTATTTTGAAACAAGTGATGGAAGAAAAACTCAATTCATCCAATGTTGAAGTCATGACTATGACACCAGCACAGATGTTTCATATGTTTACTAAAGAACAAGTGGAAGAGGTAATTTCCAAATTATCTTAATTTTATTTCAGAGATAATTTTTTTGGTATGCATCAATTCTTTTTATTTTATATACATTAAGATACATTTCTTTTCAAGTCCAATTGTACAATTCAAAATTGGTGAAATAGTGAACTCAGTTTTGTGAAAAATAAATTTTTTAGAAGAAGTCAACTAATTTCGGTTTTCCCACCTGTTTCCTGCAATTTCATTTGTGAAACCCACATACCCCCACATCACTAATAACTACCTTGAAAGAATCAAAACCACCGTACAAAGGGTTTTTATGCACAAAAAAATGGTCAAGTGAATATGTTACCCACAGGTTTGTTAGAACTGTGTAATGCTTATGGTGTGGAACTAATGGAAAAAGCCATGCTAATTATTGTAGACGGGACTAGAGCGGGTAACCTTCAAGTCGTCCATTGGCTCCAACCCTGCATGTAATGAGAATTGATTGCAATTTAAGTAACTAAATCTTAGTAGTATAGGATTAGGATGATATGCGTCAGTAAGTTTTATCTTCGAATAGATAGCTGCGTATAACATATAGTTTTATTGGTGTAGTTAACACTTTATTTAAAAAATAATGAATCTAAAACTGATGTACAGAACATTTAAATTGTAAAGAATTAAAATTTTATTGACTGAAATTTACCTAACCACAACGTAGCTAAAGTAAATTTGTTTGTGTTTAGACTATGTGTAAACCTTTAAAATACACTCAAACATAAATATATTGGTGAAGTGCGAGAAGTGTAAATAATAATTTTTCAAGATAGGTAACGTAGTCATAGCGGAAATCAGTAAATAAACTTAGTTACTGTTATTTTTAAGCCAAATGTAGTGGTTTAATTACCTATCACGTTTTCAACAAAGTTTGGTGTAAACTTCTGGGACAGACTCCAAAATTTAAGAGCCTAAAATTTTTTATGGTATTTGAAATTGTTAAAAACAATTAGCGTTACACACTGTGTATAAATTAACACTTTTATAAACGTCTTTTAAGAGGACCATATCAATTTTCTGAGACGAACTGAACCAAGAACATGCGTTTAACGCTTTATTATTCTCCCAAATTTCATAAAGTTCATATAAAATTCCAAAGTAATTGTAGTTGGGTAGTTTTAAATATTATATGACTATTAGGAAATAAATAGCAGAAATATATGGAAACGGGAAGTTTGAATGTTATTCCATATACGAGCTGTAAAACGCCAAAAGCCTTTTCCCTCTTTATTGTCCAAGCGCAAACTGTGGAAATATAGTCCACTTTGGTGAATGGTTAATTTCATGTTTTTTAGGGATTTCATTCCTTTGAGAATATGAAAAAGTGAGTCACCTTTTCCATGTATATGTTGTCTGTGTGCCGCCTGTCGGTAGTTTTATTAGATTAGTAATGTCCGAAACTACTGGATTAATTATTGGTATTGTTACATTTTATACATATTGTAAACTATATCGTGTAGATAGTACAACACTAACACTAACCAAAATCCATCTAATCGTCCTCACCAAAATTTTGATAACGCCATCTCAAGATTTTCCTTTGTAAACCCGATTTAAGGAGTGCAAAATAAAGTACTCCAAAAGGTATAAGGTTATATGGCCATCCAAAAATTATCCCATTGTGTCGAAGTTAAGTTGTTTACAATAGAAAAGGTTCTAAGGTCGTAAATAACGTGTCCACTGCAGCTCGACCGACTGCGGTCAGTTCGTTCAGGGATGGCCTTCCCTAAATATCTCACTACCTACTACTACTACCTGCAGCCATAAAGGATTCCGAAATAACCAGTCGCTTTGAAAGCCGGCCCTGTTAAATGTGAGCAAGAAATATTTAGAAGACGATTTATTGCCAACCGGTAAGCTTAGTGCGAACCATACAAAGGGGGTATTTATTTGCGGACAACTACTTTTATGATGGTCATATAACCTTATACCTTTTGGGCTACTATATATACCTCTGTACTTATGATTTATTAATCGGCTCCTATTTTAACCACATGCACGTAGATTTATTGCGAAAAAATAAAGTTGTTCCAGTAAACGAACCGATTTTTTTTTATTTTGTCAAAATACTAACTTTACATTAAAACATTAATTAATTTAGTGATTAAAGAATAATAATTAAAATTTACTTATTAAGTCCCTCTAGAAAATTAGTGACGACATCATCGCATTTTTTTTTAGTAAATGTGACGTTTTATTTCTCCTAGAAAAAGTAGGTCGCCCGTTTCCGTCTATGTGGTGGTAATTAAAATGTAACTTGTTGACGTCATTAAGTAAATTGTATGTAAAATGTACAAAACCGTAAGTATCTATTTTTAGGTTATCGTGAACGTGGTGAATCACTGTATCATCCAAAAAAATAATGGCGTAATTTTAAAATTAATTTATGTCAGTATTGCTTAAAATTTATATGGTGGGACCATCCTTTATTTGTGATTTAATAATCTAAATGTATACATTTTTTATAAGTACCCAAGTCGTCATCGTAAAACATTAGTCGAAGGTTACTTAGGCAGAACTTTCCTCGCTCCTGAAAAGTACAGTCGAACAAATAATACCGCCTCTTTGAAAAATTATAAAATTTTATTTCACGAATTTGATTTTTTATTATAAGCATGCTAGGCAGGGCGCTGAAAGTGCAAGAGTTCGACGATTAAGCACGTATAAAATTCGCGGCAGTAGAAAATAAAGCGCAAGTTTAAGTCTATGTTTCTAGTGACTTACGTGGATACGTATTATATTATTAGAGAACAATAATGTTTAAATATTATAATAGTAAACAAAATCGGGGTCGATTCGTAAACTAGAAGCATATGAGTGTATTATTTTATAAAATTTAAAAAATGTTAACTAAGGAAAATTTGAAATTGACGTTATTACAGTGTTCATGGGAATGATCAAACAATAAATTTTGGCAGCGTTTTAGTACTATCTACATTTTATTCTTACATGCATACAAAATGTGACAATAATCGGTGTAGAAGTTACGAAGATTATCTGTCTAATAAAAAACCGGACAGACGGCAGACAGATTAAACAGACGGAAACGGGAGACCTATTTGTTTGTACTCTTGAGATCATAAAACGGCGAGAAAACAAGAAAATAGCCATTCGTTCGATGAACCCTATTAGAATACTTCTTTAGCTTGGGCCTGGGAAATAAGAAGCAAATTTGTAAGTCTTTAAATCTACCAAAATGCCTTTTTTGAAATTTATTAACACTGATTTCGGAATTACAGAACATCAAGAAAAGTAAGTTAATGGTGTCATTGTAAACATTTATGATATGAAATAAATTAGTAAAAAAATATGGAACGTCATTTGCGATTTACTAATATATTTTCGTTTTTTTAGAAATGATTGTACCGGATGTTTGATGTTTTGTCTACTTTTTCCAAAGTTCAGGGAATATAGTACTATTTTTACTTCCCGAGCCTAAGCGAAGGAAGTATTGTAATCGAGTCCGTCAGCCGAATCTCTGCTTTTACGTTTTCTCGACCTTTCATGACCCCTAGAGGATCAAGAAATAGATAATCTCTGGGCCGATATTGTTGTCAAATTTTGTATTTACATTAACGCTAACCAAAATTTGTCTAATCATCCCTACCATTCCTACCAATAATGTGATGACGGCACTTCAAAACTGTACATACACTTGCGAGCATTGAAATCGGGCCACTATTCACATTTGACTTTGAATCAAATTTTCCACCGAACTATATTACACTTAAAGAAACTAAAAAAGCCATTAGAAAGACCAGATGTTTGTCTTTAAAGCAGAGTTACGAAAAACTTCATGAAATTGTTTTGCAATTTTCTTTTTTGGCAAAAAAGAAAATTGTTCAATAACGAAATTTTTTATGTTAACATCAACAATTTAAAGAAGAAAATGATGGTAATATTCGGTGTTGCCACCCCTAGCTCTAATAACCGCTCGCATTCGTCTATTCATGGACTCAGTTAAGGTAACGACAAGTTAGCCCATTCTTCTTCAATGGCTATTATTCTGAGCTCTTGGAGTGACCCAGGAGCCAGGATCCTATCTCTAATTCGTCGTTTAAGTTCATCCCACAGATGTTCTATAGGATTCATATAGATATAGATTTGGGTTTTGAATAATTTTCATTCAAAGTGAGATTTGAATAATGGCCCGATTTTAATGCTCACAAGTTTAGTAAATGGGTTTTAAATTGTATAAAATAACATAGTCCTATACATATAGTTTATCATGTCTTCGTGTTGAGTTTTTACCCCAAACGTCCAGATTTTTGTAAAACAAATCGAAATTATAAAATATTTTGCAATTTAATTTTGAATCTGCAAAACCGAATGCTTTGAAATCTTATAGACGTTTTAAAGTTATGATGAGCATGTTAAATTCTTAATCAAAATATATTGAAATCTTGCAGACGTTTTAAAGTTATTGTAAACATGGTAAATTGTTGATCAAAATATATCTGTTCATCCCCTCCAAAAAATTGATGACGTCAGCTCAAAATTTTGCCGAATAAATCCTATCTAAAATGTCTAAAATATGATGAGTCTATTCTTGTGATTTATCATTCCATTAATATTTTTTGGATTTGCTTATATGTATACGGTAACAAAAATTTAATGAATGCATGAATTTATTTTATTGATTTAATACAATAAAACAACAAAACTGAATGCTTTGAAATCTTGGAGATGTTTTAAAGTTATCATAAGCATGGTAAATTTTTGATCAAAATGTATTTGCCCATCTCTCCTAAAAAATTGATGACGTCACCTCAAAATTTTGCTGAATAAATCCCACCTTAAATGTGCAAAATACAATGAATCTATAGGTACTTGTAATTTATCACTGCATTCATATTTTTTTAGATTTGCTTATACACGGTGTCTCAAAAAAATTAATGACTTAAGACAATTTATTTTATTGATTAATTCAACAATTGCAAAACTGAATATTTTGAAATCTTGTAGACGGTTTAAAGTTATTGTGTGGTAAATTGTTAATCAAAATATATCTGTTCATTCCCCCCCAAAAATTGATAATGAATAATTTCGTCCCAAAATGTGCAAAATATGATCAGTTTTTACTTGTGGTTTATCATTGCATAAATATTTTTTAGAGTTTCTTATATTTATTTTATTGATTAAATCAGGAAGGCTCACTCC